GATGCGCGTTCACGACAGTATCATGACGCGAGCGTGTGGCGGCGCTGACCCAGATCCGGCGTAACGACGTCATCACGCCGGATCTGGCGCCGCCACACGCTCGTGTCATGGTACTGTCAGACCATGGTACAGTTGAACCACTGTAATGACAGAATTTTAATTTTTGGGTGAACTAACCCTTTAAACATAAAACACACTCGAGAGCAGTGAAAACGCACAAAATATAAATTATATTTTATTCTATATAAATATATAAAGGTACAATATATTTGGTTATAAAAATAGAATTTTACAAATCATTAAAATGGTTTAAATTTGAATAATATAAAAAATAAATATATTCATATGTACAAAAAAATAATATTTATTTATAGAATGTGTGTATATATCTACAGTGGTGGCCAAAATTGTTAGAACACTTGGCATATTTAAGAGGTTTCAGTTGTTTTTGTTGAATTGGCCATTACAGTACCCATAAAACGAACTATTGCCGGAGCTACCTGCGACGGAAGGAATCTGCTGGAACATTGAAAATGATGGACTGGCCCCTCAAAGTCCGGACCTCAACCCCATCAAGCTAATTTGGGGCGAGTTGGAAAATAAACTGGACAGATCTATTGTACATCCAAAGGGAAGCCTTTGGCTTGAGTTGCAGAAGGCATGGGATAACATTAGTGTTGAAGTTCTCAGGAAATATATTGACACTGCCAGAGAGATCTGCTGCTCTTATTGCTGCAAAAGGTGGACATACCAAATACTAAAGTTAAAAGTGGATAAGCACAGTACGACTCACTTCATCTGATATTTGTTGTGCTCAGATCAACCATCTGCATGTTTCATGAACATTATAAAATGAAATCATATTTTGGAGGCAAAAAAGGTCAATATTTTCAGATCTGTCAGGTGTTCGAACAATTTTGGCCACCACTGTATATAGATATACTTTTATTATTTATTTATTTTTTAAATAATCTGTAAAAATATTTATTTTAGTGCTGTCAAACGATTAATTGCATACAAAATAAATGTTTTGTTTGCATAATATATGTGTGTGATCTGTGTATATTTATTATATATGTAAGGGATAATCAACGGCTAGCCGTGCATTAAAGAATTTTAAATGCACAACGTGGAGGCAAAGAACCACCCGACGCGAAGCGGATATTTATATTCATATAATTTATATTGTAAATAAATATATTTAAAATATAAGCAAAATATTTTTCTGAAATATATACATGCATCTGTGTGTATTTAGATACATAATAAATATACACAGCACACACACAAATATTATGTAAACAAACAAAAAAAACTATACAATTATAAAAATATAAAGAATGTATTAATACAAAGTTAGATAAAGGATTATACATAATTTCAGAATTTTATTAATGTTTTACATAACAAATTTTAATAAGAAAATAATGTACATTTATGAATATGTACATAAATACAGTGTGCATAATAATAAAATAATAAATGTATTTTATATATTTAAAATTATTCTGTAAATATATTATATTTTTACATATAGTTCTTAAAACTCATACAAATTCTATTTTTATATTCTTGTGAAAAAAATGTATGTACATGATAATAATATATTTATGATTTTTTTCCCATTAATTACAGCCCCCCAGATCTCACTGGATGTGACTGTCTGGTTACTTGCTTTATAAAAGTTGAAAAAAGGGTTAAACAACATTCAGCAAATATCTGGATACAGTGAAGGGCTTCATGTAGTGTATACAACATTTTGTGTGTGTAACAGCAGCTGCAGTGCTGGGCTCACATCCATACCTGTTGGCGTATCTCAGAGTGTTTAATGTGTTTTCACATGATGCCATTCCAGGAGAGATTGTAGCGATCTATTCACAAAAGATCAAAATCACTCACAAATACACAAATGTCACCGTCTTGAAAATGAATATATGAATATCATCCCAGTGTTCTTACCATACATGTCCTAGAGTTTTCTCCAATGAAGGAATCTCTCAAGACCTGCGTGAGTTTACTGGCTCTAAACGGAGTGTGTGGTTTGTTTCGACCCAAAGCCCTGATGCACTCCTGTCACACAAACATGAATCGACCCAGATACTAACATGATAATACAGTTTCTCAATTCACAGGCGTGGACCATCAAAACATGGGCAAATCACATGGTTCTGGAGCCGTGCGAGACGATGTGGAGCACAAACCTTCAGCGCCAGCAGACTTTTGTTGATCTCGGCGCCCTCGAGCCGTGTCTGTCGGTCGGCGCTCGACGTGTCCGCCCCTCGCTCGTTCCCCGCCAGGTCGATGAGAGAGAATTTACCGTGCATTTTGACCCTCCTGCGGAGGATAATCTGAAACACGGCATGACTGCGGGACGAGTGAGCGTTAGCCGAGGTCTGTCCAGATGTCCTGAGGAAAAGCACACACAAAAACCACGGTTAATACCATACTGTGACTGGTTTTAATGGTGTCACTGTCGGAAACTGATTAAGAATCATTTTAGAATAATTACACTTTCTGATTAAATAAAATTTCTGATTTTTACAAATTATTCTTATAAATAAAAAAGACTTTGAAATTCTTTATATAAATGTGTGTGTTTATGTATACATATATATATATATATATATATATATTTTTTTTTTTTATTATTATTTTTATTTTTTTTTTTCAATTAAACTTAAACCGAATTGTATTTTTAAATTCTTCTGACTAGTCATACCTGCAGCTGTTGCCCATCTCGATGAGTTTGAGCACGTCCTCGGTGCATTTGACCTCTCGCTCCTGCAGCCCTACCACTTGAACCTGCTGCTTCCCATCTTCAAGAACACGCAGCTTCGTCTTCCTGTTCAGAAGGTCAAACACCTGCAACGGACCACTCAAATCTGGCTTAATGCACTTTGAGAACAAATTAATAATTCATGTAAACTATGAAACTCGCCTCCCGCTGTAGATATCAAAGAACGTACTCCTGAAGATCTAACTAACTTAAGTTGAAGTACTAAAATTTACTGAAAAAAAATAAATAAATTAAATAAAAACTGAAATAAATTAAAGCTAAATAGAAATTAAAAACTCAAACTAAAAAGACAAAAGCAACATAAATATTCTAAAATTAAAATGAAGAGTAAAAATAAAAGGTAATTCATAAAATTAATACATACTATAATGATATATAAATAATACTAAAATAACACTGCTTTTTCTAATAATAATAATAATAAAAAATAATACTATTTTCACATTTTAAAACAAATTAAAACAATTAACTACTAATTATTAATGTGAACTACAGAACTTGCCTTTACAATGTAGATTTCAAAGAACATGATAACTAACAACTGAAATAATAATAAGTAATAAAATAAATAAATTTAAGTACTAGAATTACTGAAATAAAATTGAACAGAATAAAAGCTGAAATTAATATTCTATAATAAATAATTTCTATAAGTTACATAGAAATATCAACTATATAACTAATACTTTTTAATACAAATATAAAATAGTTAACTAATAAAAATGTCAAATCACAAAACACCGAAAATAAAAAAATAAAAGCGTATTCAAAATATCATGAAATACTATAATAGTATATAAATTAGGGGTGGAACGGTTCACGGAAAAAAATCGAACTGTACGGTTCTCCACACACGGATCGGCACGCGGTAGGTCCGCGGTTCAACTTAAATCTGACAACGCATCTGTAATATGGTTTGCTATAAATAACACGTAAAACAATCAGGGTTCGGCACCAGCGAAGAAAAAAAAAAAAAAACGTGGACAAACCATTCACTCTTGTTCAATGCGACTCCCGTATGCTGGAATATGAGCATTTATTCCGTCATCACCCGGGGTGCTGATAGCGCGCGCACAGGTGAGACCTGAACAGCACACGTTGATATCTATGTTTAAACTAAACTCATTGAAGCTTTGCCAGTTTAAACATTTAAGAGCCAGAGGACGCGAGCTCGCGCACACAGTGAGAAGATCTGTGCGTGCGCTCATCCAAAGCGCGCAAACCCGCGCCTCAGAACGTGCGCATATATTAAGCTCTCTCTGAAGTATTGTGTTTAAATGGACAAATTCACACAAAAATTATGTCAAAATACCTGTCTTGGTAAGTGTCCTATAGCAGACATAGCCGGCTGAACGTACTTAAGTGTCTTAAAGTGACAGCATTTTCTTAATATTAATCAAACAGCAACAACAAAGAAATCACTCACTGCTCTTGATTGAATAGCTTTTGTAACTTTAATAAAGATTAAACTTTAATTTATACAGTCAAATATGCAATGCTGTTTTACATTTCATTACTTTATTCAATTTCTGTACCTAAAAACTAATGCTAGACCTACCTAAAAAAACCTGAAACTCACTGTTTATTTTATTTGTATCTTTACTCTATTGTATTTATTTGTGCTGTTGCTTGTAGTTAGATAGATTATTCTTATTTTTATTTGACAATGTAGTTTTTGCCTAAACATAGCACATACCGAACCGTACCGAAACCGTGACTCTAAAACCCTGATACAAACCGAACCATGAGTAAGTTGAACCGCTCCACCCCTAATATAAATAATACTACAATAACACCGCTCTTTTTATAATAATAAATATTTTATTATATTTTTCATTAACTCATTTATTATATTAATTATTAATGTGAACCACAGAACTTGCCTTCCCGCTGTAGATTTCAAAGAACGTCGCGTACACCTGAAGATCCAACTTCTTGTAGTTTGGTTTTTTTAACATGAGAAAAACATCCCGTGCTGAAAGAAGAGCACAGTCACATTTAGGAAAATGATCACTCAATATCTGAACAGAAAAACAGCAGGTCAGACACACACCAGCGAGAGCGTAGATCCCTTTGGAGCAATCCTGGTTCTTCCCCGAAAAATCTCCTCCCATGGTCTGGATTGGAGGGAAAATCGATTATGACAATACCAGTGAAAATCCACGGTTCTCGGTACCAATTTCGGTACCAAAGTAAAACACAAAAACATGCTAATTGAACAACATTTTTATTAATAACGTTAAACAAAAATTAAATGTATAAAAAACCAATGCCATTCTTTATACTTATTTAAAATTGCAATTCGTCGGTCATCCGACGTGACGTCGAGAGTGACCGACTGAAAGGGAACTGACCTGTACACCATTTCGTTTGTGGAGGTGTCGTCGAATGCGTAATCGAAGCGGAACGTCTGGTTCTCCAGGTATCTGGTTAAATCCACTTTCTGCTTGGGCTCGTGGACCATGACCACGTCTTTACTGGGGATGGTGATGACATCCAGATCCTTCATGGTCAGCTCTGAGTCAACACACATGATGAGCTGCATCACAAACAACACCAACACACTGACGACACAGAATCACAAGATTTCATCCTTACCTTTCTTGTTCAGTGGACGTGTCCGAACACACACGCATATCCTGTGGTCCTCAATCTGAGAACATATACATATTATTAAGACATATCTATTATAATAACATACAACACAGCTAATGCATCACATGGAAGTGAAATAACTGTGGGAGCACATGATGGTGCTGATGCAGTTCTTCACCAGATCTGCAGTGGTCAGCGGTCTGTAGTCCAAACTCGCTCTGAAATCTCGGATCATGCACATGATTTCATAATTAGGGGTTGTGGCATCGACCTCCTGTGTAATAAAAAAAAACTCAGTTAATATTGTAAGCAGGGTTCAAAATTAACACCCGCCAAATGCAGATAAAAATTAGCTGTGGTGGGTAACGCTGTCACATCACTAGCCAATTTGGCGGGTTACTTATTGTGGGGGGCTAGTAGAAGTTCTAAATGGCTGGTAACTTAAAAATTGAGTAGCCAAATTGGCTTGTGAGTGAAAAAGTTAAATTCAAACACCGATTGTAAGAGTTTATAACATAATAACATCACCTTCTTGAGATGTCAAGTCCCCATGTTAAGTCAAGACATTTTTATTCACTCATTTTAATTAGATATGCTAATTAATTTAATTACTAAGATGTTTAATTACTGAATGCCATCCACTGAGTTAAATAAGCAACATAGTAAGGTCATCTGACCAATGTTTTCATTTTACTTTTAATTTTTTAATTTTTAGTATTTTTTGTAATTTTTATTATTATTTTTAAAATGTCGAGTTTTTATTCATCTTAATTTCAGTTTTAGGTATTTTAGTGCACCATGTTAAACTAACGAAAACAAGAAATGTTAAACAGTCATTTCAATTCATTATTCACTAGCTGAAATAAAATGTTTTTATTTCAGTTTAAGTGTATTTTATTTCAAGAAACAAAACTGTTTTTTTTTATGGTTTTAGTTAACTATGATAACCCTGGCAGATGCTTTAATTGAAAGTGTCTTAGAAATGAGAAACATAACATGCTATCTGTCACCAAGCCAATAATATTCATAGTATATAATAAATAAATAAACAAACAGATACATTTTTATAATTGTAATGTGCAATAAGCAACATAAATTAATAAATAACATTACAATTGCAATGCACATTAGGCAATAAAACACAAACACACACACACACATACATATATATAAATATTAGGGGTGTAAATCGGATGGTTCGTCACGATATGCTACGGTATCGATTCTCATACCCAGCGATACGATATTTGCCGATACTTCAAAAAAATTATACGATACGATTCGATACAGGAGAATATCGATCGATATATCGATATTATTATATTATATACCTATTTTAAACAACCATCTACATTTTTATTAACTCACAAATGCAACCAAAACATATAACATAAGCATTTTTCTTACATTTTTACATCCTATTCTTCAATTGGGACATTCACAACAAAAAATATGCCTACACTTTTTTTTTTTAAATAAAGAAAAATAAATAATTGAAATTTAAAAAAAAAGAATCAAGTCACACACAAGATCAGTAATCTTAAGATATGACAACAGTCAAGACAGTCTTTCAGGATTCTGTACTAAAATATGCAATGTGTAAAATAATGTAAATCTTCATTAGGAAACAACACAAACGAGGTACTCCAGTTGTAGAAAATAAATAAATAAATAAATAAATAAAGCGGTTAAAACTTTGAGACTTTTTTTGCCTGCTACTATGGGCTCAGTGCTAAAAACCTTTTCGTCAGATAACCAAGTTACAAGCAATAGCAGAAAATTAATGCAATATAACAAAGACACAAATTAAAGGTGACATATCATGAAAACCTGACTTTTCTAGGTTTTAAGTGCTATAATCAGGTCCCTGGTGCATCTACCAACCAAGGAAACGTGAAAAAGATTAACCAGGTAACTTTGTCTTGATAAGCCGTTTTCTGCAAGCGTCTGAGAAAACGAGCGCGTCTGATTTCGCTCCTGTGCTAAAATATGCAATAAAAAAAAAAAATAATAATTCCTCATTAGGAAACAACACAAACGAGGTACTCCAGAGCTAGAAAAAAAATACATTAATGTAGAAAAAAAGCACAGCTTTTTTGCTGCTACTATGGGCTCAGTGCTAAAAACCTTTTCTACTGATAACCAAATTACAAGCAATAGCAGAAAATAAATGCAATATAACAGACACAAATTAAATAAACAGTGCTTTTCAGGTTTTTCAGGTAGATCTAAAAGAAATTTTCAGGTACAGAAATGTAATAATCAAATGCAAAATAACACTGCATAGTCTTCACTGTTTAGATTAAATATATAATCTAATTATAATTATAATATACATTAAGCAACACTAAAAGTTTCATTGTTGCAAGTACACTAGTATTCCAGTGTTTTCTGTCACCTGTGCTCTTTTCTCTCTCAGCTCCTGCTGTTGCAATCGTCTCTTCTCCCGCTTCTCTTGAAGTTTCTCCACTTCCTTCACGCAGTTGGACTTCCTGCGAGCTGCAGACACACACACACAAAACTCTGACACTGGAAACAGACTCAATATTTTACAAACACTTACATTTATCGTTAAGAATACTGATCAGTTAAACCTGATTCCCTCACTGTAACAGGCATTTTGTGTTTCATAATTCTAAAGTCAGTGTGAATTAGTAGGTGTTTAACATATCTGAGTGATTCCCTCAACAATGGCAGCATGAGGGCTCATCTCTGGAAAACAAATCTAAATGCTGCTTTTGTTCTGATGTGACGAAGACAACAGCCGCTGTGTGACACGCTGAGAGCCCTTCAGTCTCTCCTCTTCAGATATCACACACTCTCAACATCATTACAACACACACACACATGCTGTGTGTCAATAATTACACTACTGTTCAAAGGTTTGGGGTCAGTACGATTATATACAGTGGGTACGGAAAGTATTCAGACCCCCTTCAATTTTTCACTCTTTGTTATATTGCAGCCATTTGCTAAAATCATTTAAGTTAATTTTTTTTCCTCATTAATGTACACACAGCACCCCATATTGACAGAAAAACACAGAATTGTTGACATTTTTGCAGATTTATTAAAAAAGAAAAACTGAAATATCACATGGTCCTAAGTATTCAGACCCTTTGCTGTGACACTCATATATTTAACTCAGGTGCTGTCCATTTCTTCTGATCATCCTTGAGATGGTTCTACCCCTTCATTTGAGTCCAGCTGTGTTTGATTATACTGATTGGACTTGATTAGGAAAGCCACACACCTGTCTATATAAGACCTTACAGCTCACAGTGCATGTCAGAGCAAATGAGAAGCATGAGGTCAAAGGAACTGCCTGAAAAGCTCAGAGACAGAATTGTGGCAAGACACAGATCTGGCCAAGGTTACAAAAAAAAATCTGCTGCACTTAAGGTTCCTAAGAGCACAAGGTGCCTCCATAATCCTTAAATGGAAGACATTTGGGACGACCAGAACCCTTCCAATCGAGGGAAAGATGAATGCGGCCAAGTACAGGGATATCCTGGACAAAAACCTTCTCCAGAGTGCTCAGGACCTCAGACTGGGCCGAAGGTTTACCTTCCAACAAGACAATGACCCTAAGCACACAGCTAAAATAACGAAGGAGTGGCTTCACAACAACTCTGTGACTGTTCTTGAATGGCCCAGCCAGAGCCCTGACTTAAACCCAATTGAGCATCTCTGGAGAGACCTAAAAATGGCTGTCCACCAACGTTTACCATCCAACCTGACAGAACTGGAGAGGATCTGCAAGGAGGAATGGCAGAGGATCCCCAAATCCAGGTGTGAAAAACTTGTTGCATCTTTCCCAAAAAGACTCATGGCTGTATTAGATCAAAAGGGTGCTTATACTAAATACTGAGCAAAGGGTCTGAATACGTAGGACCATGTGATATTTCAGTTTTTATTTTTTAATAAATCTGCAAAAATGTCAACAATTCTGTGTTTTTCTGTCAATATGGGGCGCTGTCTGTACATTAATGAGGAAAAAAAATTAACTTAAATGATTTTAGCAAATGGCTGCAATATAACAAAGAGTGAAAAATTTAAGGGGGTCTGAATACTTTCCGTACCCACTGTATATATTTTTTTTAAAGTCTCTTCTGTTCACTAAGGCTGCATTTATTCGATCAAAAATGCCATAAAAACAGTAAAATTGTGAAATATTATTAGAATTTAAAATAACTGTTTTCTAATTTAATATATTGTAGAATGTAATTTATTCCTGTGATGCAAAGCTGAATTTTCAGCATCATTACTCCAGTCTTCAGTGTCACATGATCCTTCAGAAATCATTCTAATATGCTGATTTGTGCTCAACAAACATTTCTGATTATTATCAATGCTGACAGTTGTGCTGCTTCATATTTTTGTGGAAAACAACATTCTTTCATATTCCTCCCGACTGCAAACTTTCGAATGGTATTGCATGCGTTAGTGAGGTGTTGTGGTACCGTTCTGCTGCTGTAGGGTCTGGTGTTGGATGGGTGGAGGCGGGATGGGCGCTGATGGAGGCGGTTCGGTCTGTTGGCTCGGCCGCGCTCGAGTCGTACCTACAGTGACTGAATAATGGAGATCACATCACTGACCATAAAAAAAGATCGACAGGTCAAACGCTACAGCTTTCAGACAAACATGTAAACAGACAAGCTTTTTTTGTCTATTATGTTAAAATAATAGCAAGTTATCAACATTCTGAAATAACACAAATGGAAATATGGGAATGTTGTTCAAAATTTGACACAAATGAAAACTTCATGAAGTGCATCCTGGGATGCTTTAAACAGTATTGAAGGAGGAACAGGTGTGCTTGTTAATGCTTTTCCGTTATTATATTATTACTCTATCAACTTGAGCCCCTTAAGAAAAAAACTTCAAGGCAATTTTTATCTTTGTCTATGAAAATGTTTTCGTTAATTGAAAAGGCTGAAATAAAATATAAATAGTAGATGAAAAACTAAACAAAAATTAGAAATCTTGCCTTGGCAACTAACTGAAATAAAATACACTTAAAGTCCCCCTGTAGAGAAAATAGGGCTGCACGATTAATCAAATGCGACTGTCATGCGCATTTTGATGGTAATGCCGGTTCTGTAATCAGCAG